CCGACAGCTGAAGCATATGGAACCACTTTCTCTTTATCGATTGAGCTCAAATTGGTTCCTGGGGCATTGAAAATCCCCATATCCGTCGCCCTTGACTACAGGAGCAGGTGAGGGACTATATTTGTGCATACTGAATTTCTTTAAGATCTTTTCCATGTATGCCTTTTGTGACAGTCATTATACCCTTTTCTTCTATCTCGGTGAATCTCGATCCCTAGAACGAACGAGGCTTCCTCAAGATCTTTCATATCAAGTTTTGAGAACAAAACTTCTTTGTCTCCTGTAGTAGACTGACATCACTACTAGCAAGTAAGATATCATTTACATACAGGATAAGGAAGATAAACTTCCCAATCTTAAACTTTGCTTAGACACAATTGTCCTCTACATTCTCTTTAAAACCTAAAATTCTTTATTGTCTGATCAAACTTCAAGTACCACTATCTTGAAGCTTGTTCTAATCCATAAATGGATTTCTTTAGGCGGCATCCCATTCGTTCTTTTCTTTCCATGACAAAACCTTCCGGTTGTGCCATGTAAACATTTTCCTCCAAGTCTCCGTTGAGGAATGCCGTGTTTACATCCATCTGATGTAATTCTCAATCGTAATGTGCCACTAATGCTATTATTATTCTGAAAGAATTATTACATGAGACTGGAGAAAAGGTCTCATTGTAATCAATCCCTTCTCTTTGCACAAAGCCTTTTGCCACAAGTCGGGCTTTATATCTCTCTATATTCCCTTGAGAGTCAAGTTTTGTCTTGTAGACCCATTTACAGCCTACTGTTTTGGCTCCTTTAGGAATTATTTTCAAGTCCCAAACTTTATTGGCATTCAATGATTTCATTTCATCTTCCATGGCCTCAAGCCACTTTAATGATTGATCACTACTCATGGCTTCTTCAAATGAGGCGGGATCATCCTCCATTTGAAATTCTTTAGTGTTGTACACTTCATAATCAGCAGGAATAGCTGATTTTCTAACTCTTTTGAGACCTACTAGGGGCCTCCACATTTGGCACATCTTCTGTTTGAGGCTGTTGTTGCTCCCCCTCATGTGTGACAATTGATTCTATAGAATCCTGAAGAACAGGTTCCTCATCGTCATTTATTGTTGCCACAGGTGGGATAACAACAGGTGCTAGCACCACAGTATCTAGCACTGTCGGTGCAGCTACAGCAGGTAGTGAGAAAAATGGCTCATGAATCATTAGAGTGGGCGCATACACCCGCTTCACTTCAAGGACAATTTCTCGAGCTACCATGCTCCCCCTCATCTTTTCATCCTCTAGGAAAACAGCGTGTCTCGTTTCCACAAACTTTGTATGTCTCTCTGGACAGTGGAAAACGAAAAACTTTTGACTTTTCTGTGTTGCCAATAAAATGGCAACTTACTATTTTGGGATATAACTTTCCAATGTTTGGGTTAAATACTTTAGCCTCAGCAGGGCTCCCCCACACACACGCAAGTGGTTTAGTGAGAGTACTTTTTCTGTCCACAACTCATACGGTGTTTTGGGCACCGATTTACTTGATACTCTTTTGAGAATATGAATGAGGTTTTTAATGCCTCCATCCACAGGCTCAACTGTAAGGTGGAGTAACTTATCATACTGCCCACCATATCCATCAGGGTACGATTGGTTCTTTTAGATACTCTATTCTGCTGAGGTTCGCTCGGTATAGAATACTGAGCTACTATGCCATTCTTTTAGGGTATGCCGACCGTAGTACTCCCCCACGGTCAGACCTGACTATCTTAATCTTTAATATCTTAAATTTATCCAATACATCTTTTCTTTGATTGGATAAATATAGTCATAATGGGAGTAATCAACTGTGAATGGATCATAACCATCCACACTCTTTACAGGAAAACTGACCACAGATGTCTGTGTGAATAACCAATAAAAGAGCTCTAATTGAGGAAGAATATCATTTTTAACTTGTCTTTCTATTCTCCCCCTCGAAATATGGCCTGAACGATAGTGCCATAATTTCGACAATGCATCGTGAGCTCTCTTATGCCACCATTTTCAGAGTAACACTCAGTGACCAGCTTTATCAGCTAAGTGGCATGTCTTTGAAGAGCCAGTGAACTGCTCTTTATTCTATCGAGGTACTTGGTGATCGTGTCACATTCTGGGATTGAGCCCACAATTGTAGGTTCAATCATGTTCTTTATCATAGCCAAACATTTTTTTGTTTGCAGTGACCCACTTTCTATGTTCAAAAGCCATAGAATATATTTTGGGATTCAAAATCTCTTTCTTTAGTTGCCCAAGTGGCATCATTCTCTTTTGTCTCCCTCACCGGTGCCATAATCTCAGTGGAACACGATGAGGTGACTACCCAGTCCACCTTAGACAAGATGAAAACCAGGTCAAAACTTTTCTTAATACAAAAATAACACCATTTGCATGCCTTGATTCCAACGTTGGTTAAAAAACAAAACATACAATTATTCTTATACACTAATTCTACATCACCGTTGGCCAGAAATAGAATTAATGCATAAATCTTTAACTTTCACAACTGTTCTTACACACTAATTCTACATCACCGTTGGGCAGAAGTAGAATCAATGCATAAATCATTAAAATTATCAACTTTTCTTATACACTAATTTTACATCACCGTTGGGCAGAAGTAAAATTAATGCATAAATCATTAGCATTACGATATTGTTATTAACAACGTTGGAAAGAAAATAACAACATCATAATCTTGTCAAAACTCCTTTTCTCCAATTAAATACCACATTGGTTCAAAATAATTGGAGAATCAACATTTTCTTTAGCAGCGGAATAACTTTCTTTTTCTCCAATTAAATACCACGTTGGTACAAATTAACTGGAGAATAAACAAATTCTCTTTAGCAGCGGAAAAATAATTCAATTTCTTGAATTTTACCAAGCAGGAAATTCTCTTTTCTATTTTATTTAAGCCATTAATCAATTTCCAGGAAATAAACATTTACTGGAAAAACTTTCATTTTAATTACTTTTTCTATTTTCTTTTGAGCCATTCCTTCATTTTCCAGGAAATAAAACCTTATTCAATGGAAAATGAAAAAACAATTTCTCACTTGTTCTTTGATTTGGACTAGAACCGGCCCATCATTCTTTCTAACTCGGGCTCAATCCTTCTCTGTTGGCCCAAAAAAAACGACAAATGCCGGCTCGGCCCAGCTCTCACCTTGTAGCGCTCGGCCGCACTTCCAGGCCATAACTTGGGCTGGGCGGCAAAGCACCATACCCAGTAGCGCCCTTTGTCATGACATGGCCCCCCTCTCGATCTCGGTCGTCATACTGATCCAACGGCCGAGCGCGCATTTCGCTCGGATAAAACGCGACGCCGCGCGCCCCCGAGGAAAAACCCTAGGTCATTTTCTTTGCCGCTCTCTCTCTCTTCATTCTCTCTCTGTCGCCGCTCTCTTCTCAGCGCTGCGCAGCCGCAACCGAGCGACGAGCCGGCGAAATAGTGGAGCAGAGAGCCCCGGCGCCGTCGCCGCCCCCCTCGCCGGCGTGCGCGTTCCCAATGGGTGTTGCCGCCGTCAGCGGCTTTGGTGCATGGCGCTTTCTTTGGCCGAGCTCGGCGAAAAACTTCTCGGCTCGGTCTTCTTCTCCCGCGCCGGCGAAGGGACATCCGACGCGCGGCGAGGTTGGTTTCTTCTCCTTTCCCCTTCTCTTTCTTGAATCTTGTTTCTCTTTTCGGATTCAACCGATTGGGGTATGAAGTTAGGGTTAGGGTTTCACTGTTCATTTTCTTACGCCGACGAGGCGGCAGCCCTTCCCTTCTTCCCCTTGTTCTTTTCGATTTGGATTGTTCTTCTCTTTTCCGAAACAGTGGATGGGAATAAGGTTTAGTTCTAGGGTTAGGGTTCGGAATCCGACCTTCCCCTTCTTTGATTCTTTCTGTTTCTCTTTTCGGTTGAGTCCGATTTGGATTTCTTTTGATCCAAGATCGAGATGCTAGGTTTCCTTTTCTTCTTCCCCTTCGGATTTGCTTTTGGATCTTTCTTTCCGTTTCGGAGTTCATCCGAAATAGGGATTTAGGGTTAGGGATTCGTTTTCTTTTAATTTCTTTTCTTTTCGGAGTTCATCCGAAACAGTTTCCTTCCCCTTCTTTATTCGAGTTAGGGTTAGGGCTTAGGGTTCTTGAGATCCTTTTCCCCTTTCTTTTCTCTGATCCAAACACGGATCTTTTCTGTTCTTGCCGTGTCAGTGCGGCACTTTTTCCCGCGCGGTGGCGGTGATGACCGGTGCTCCAGTGACATCCGCCACCCCCGGTCCCTTTTCTTTGCTTTTACCCGGTTAGGGTTAGGATTACACAGAGGCAACCTGGCTCTGATATCATTGTTAGGATCGATGGATGTGTACCTCACTGTGTAACCCGTAGATCCGGGTAGGCTCCTCGCCTTCTCAGTAGATGCACCGTAGCGGGTAGACGTCGGTGCCGTAGTGTAGAAGACGTCCAGCGCGGTGGAGACGATCACCAGTGGCACTGTGGAGACCCTGCAGAGGCAGCGGCGGTGGTGGGGCACATCCCGTCGCTGGCAGCAGCTCTTTGGATCGGTTTAGGGTTACTGTAGGTGGGTGTGGCGGCTCCAGTGAACCTCTCTTCGAGCTCGATCCCCAAGAAATGAGGGCCCACCAACCGACGGTGGTGGGGCACATCCCGTCGCTGGCAGCAGCTCTTTGGATCGGTTTAGGGTTACTGTAGGTGGGTGTGGCGGCTCCAGTGAACCTCTCTTCGAGCTCGATCCCCACCTTCTCTATTTGTATGTGCTGTGCGACAGGGGCCCACCAACCGGATTAGGGTTGGGCTCCCCCGATCAGGGAGCAGAGACAAGGGCCCAATAGACCGTTGGGCCTATTGGTGGAGATCAACTAACAGAGTATACCATGCTTATCAATCATTAAGAAAAGGACTACAAAAACCTGAAAGCAAAGACTCACAACTAATCGAAAAGGTTACTGGCTTACTGCCATTGCCATCACTGACTCATATGATCTGCACAGGCCTGATTTACTGCCGGGGGAATTTCAGCAATGGCCAGTAGCTCTTGAAGCTTTTTTGTTGTGAAATTGCTGACACCAATCATTCTAGCAAGGCCAAGCCGATGGCATTCCTCCATCGCACGCCATACACCGCTCAGGTCCATGGGCATGATTTCCTCCCTTTTAATCGGGAATTGTGGCTCTCCGGGCTTTGCAGCCACCGGCCAATGAACCAGGTACAAATCAACATAATCCATTTGAAGGTTCCTACAGATGAAGAGTTAAGAATCTTGCTTGCCACCAAAAGACACGGATTTTAATGTGTTTGGTACTTGCAGCTACTGCAAAATTGGCAGACTGAAATTGAAGAATTTAGTTTCTAAGATCCAGATCAAATTGTTGTTACTCGTCCTTTCAAGAACCAAAATTTCAATCGCAGAGCGCTAGTAAATCCTATTTGAAAAAAAAAACTCTTACTGCAAGCTCTCCTTGAGGGAAGGTAGCACGAGCTCCGGGTGGGATTGCGAGCACCACATCTTGGTCGTCACGAACACCTCCTCCCTGGACGCCACGATCCCGTGCCGCGCCGCCTCGGCCACGGCGTCGCCGACGGCACGCTCGGAGCGGTAGAGCGAAGCGGTATCGAGGTGGCGGTACCCGAGCTCCAGTGCCGCGAGGACGGCGGCCCTGACGTCTTCCTCCACGAACGGGAACCATGCCGTGCCGAGCCCCACGGCCGGCACCGGCCGGCCGGCGGGGCCCACCGGGAACTCTGGGATCTCCGAGTTGCTGGTGCCGACCCTCCTTGTTGGTGATGCCATGGCCGGCGCTGCCTGTGTGCCGTTCGATTCTCCGCTGGTCAGAGGAGAGGCGTAACTAAATGTAATGTAAGGCCCCGTTAAGATAAAAAAAATTTGGTTTTGGCTACGGTAATATTTTCGTTTGTATTTGATAATTAGTGTCTAATTATGGATTAATTAAGTTCGAAAGTTTCGTCTCATGATTTCTCACTCAATTGTGTAATTAGTTTTTTTTTTCGTCGTACTCTATGTATGTGCCGTAAGATTTGATGTGATGGATACTGCGTAAAAAAATTTAGGTTTGAAGAACTAAATAGGCCATAAGTATCTATCTTCTCATGATTTATTTATAATAAAAGTTATCTTTTGGATCTTTTTTTGATAGAGAAAGCTAAAAATAAATATTAAACCATATTTGTTTGAACTTATTAAACAACTTATCAGCTAGTAAAAAACAGCTTCGGTCGGCTGAACAGAGCCTAGATCCGCTGATTCCACCGCTTTCGTGAGAAGCCGATTCCGCGGTTTGTCGTTCAGCTTGCGAACAACAACGACAGTTCCAAATTCCAACGTCAAAAGAATATAGTAGGATCACAAAGTGTTTTTTTTTCAGTAGAAAAATGAAAAAGATAACAAGCAAACAAGGGCCTTGTTTAGATTGAAAAAAATTTCAACCCAATAAATAGTAGCACTTTCGTCTTATTTGGTAAATATTATCTCATCGTGGACCAACTAAGCTCAAAAGATTCATCTCGTGATTTCCAACTAAACTGTACAATTAGTTATTTTTTTTACCTACATTTAATGCTCCATGCAAACGGCTAAAAATTGATGTGATGAAAAAAGAGTGAAAAAACTTGAAATTTTGAGGGTATCTAAACAGGGCCAAGGTCTTGTGACGCACGCGTACACTTATTAAATGAAAAATATAATAGGACGTGGGCTACTGGGTCAGTTCGTAATCCAGTCCAACAAGCATGGGGGATACAATTGTATTGTCAGCCCAGTTCTAGATTCTGGCCTTGTTGATGGACTTTGGCATGAAAAACGTATGTGCCAAAGTCACGTAGGCCTAGCACAATTACGCAAAAAGGCCTATTCTACCTCTCCGAACTATCATCATTGTATGATTTTCATCTTTAAACTTTAAAACCAGACATCTTACCCTCACGCGCTCTCAAAACCGTTCAAATTATCTCCCTGCACTAGTTTGGAGGGGTTTTGAAGGTGATTTTATCTTCTTTTGTTAAAAAATCAGTAAATACTTGATAAAGTTTTTAAACGACATTAAATATCTCTAAGCTTTTAAAAACGCTGAAAGAAATTTTTAATATAGATTGGGATATGCCAAATCCAAATAAAATATTAAGAGCCCATGAAAGTATCCAAAAATAGATTTTGCTCTAGGAAAATGGAAAAAATATCCGAAAATCTAGAAAGATTCCAAAACATACTAATCAATGTTAAACATGTTTTAAAAATTTATTGCAATAAAAGTTAATAAGAAATAAGCACAAATGCATGCTAGTGGCAACTCATATTTTTACCATGCAATTTTTTAACACATGTTTATACCGATTAGAATGTTTTTGGAGTTTTCTATATTTTTATATATACCTTTTCCATTTTGATAGAGCCAAATCTATTTTATTGAAGCATATAGAGATATTTTCATGAGCTATAAATATATTCTTCTATCAAAATGAACTAGGAACCTGCAAAGTTTCACTATTTTTGACTTCATCGGCTCCGTCTCCTCCACTCCCTATAGCAAGGAGCCGGAGGCATTTGTAACCGTGCCAAACATGAGTTTCACTCACTTTGTAAAACAAAGGTTTTTTTTGTCTCAATCAACACCTCTCAAAGTCATCTTTGTACGATGCAAATGGCTCTTCCTTCGAAGAAGAATGAGCTTGGCTAGGTGGTAAATATAACGCAAGAATGGTGGCACAAAAGTTCACGTATATACCTAAAAGTGATTGTGGTGAAATTTACTCTCTCGTCATAAGTGGCGTCGTGTTCACATACTTGATCTCTATGGCAACTAACTTATGTTGAAAGTTTAGTTGATGGATGTTGTGACCACGCACTTGTACAGGTCACTAGATTTGGAATTGTACGTGAGAGTCCCGAAGGGTTCAAGCCCAATGCCTAAGGCTACATCACCCAGGAGTACGTTGGTTGTTGGTGATGCCTTGAAGATGGGTTTGAATGGACACACACTAGCCACTCACAATCTATCGGATCAGCTCCAAATTGACCGGATATGCCTTAAGCGTGGAAGGGCAGCAGGGAGACCGCTGGCGCAGATCCCATGATGTGGCGCCGCCATGCCCGAGGAGAGACTGTTGGGGGAGAGGAGGAATGTGCTGCCACTAGAGGAGTAGCCTCCATCAACCCAATGCAACGTAGCTAGGCTTCCTTTTCCCCAGGATTGATATAGTGGCGACACCTCCACCCTCCGAGTCTAGATATGGCATCTTATCAGGTACTCCCTCCATACTAAAAAAAATAAATAAAGTCGTTTTAAAGAGTGACATGGTCTCTAAAGCATAATTTTAACTACTTATTTTTTAAAGATATTTATCAAAAAGTGATATATGTAATTTTTTATGAAAATATTTTTCAAAATAAATCTATTTATATGGCTTTCACATTTCCAAACTCAACAACTTAAAAGTTATTCATTATTTATATTCCTAATATTTGATCCAAGCCTTGTTCAAAATGACTTTATTTTTTTAGCATGGAGGGAGTACGCAGTATTGCAGTTCGCTAGTTGGGATCAATGGTCTCCAGCCACCAACCACTAGGAAGTGATCTGGATCTGAAAAAAATGAGGCAGAGACATTGAGAGAGGGAAAGTGCTATATAACACGTTTCGAGATTTTACTGTTGTGATGAAAATAGTTACCGTACGGTTTCACATAGATATATTATGGTTCAAAGGTATATGACTGGAATTGGTTGAGAGTAGTCCATCATCATCTTACTCATTACCTTTTTGTTTATTCATTAGCTTTTTGTTTGGTTTGAATAATGGAGTGGGTTGATCCATTATCACCTCATTCTTAATAAGGTAATAATCAGTACTAGGACAAAAAAATAAAGTCATTCCACTAGAAAATTTGAGAAATGAACTTACGATGCATCAATGAGTTGATCCCCAAACCAAACCATCCAAGGATTTATTTACTGTTACAGTGGGGTTTGTACGGTTAAGGGTTTGTTTACTCCAGACTCGGACGCCCGCCGACCTGGACATCAACAATGGAATCTTTTAGGATCCGTTGATCTAATGCTGGTCTTCCTTGCCGTTAGATACCGACAATGCATGTGTGCTTTTCTGTTCTACACTGATTCCATATCAGTTTACCAATGTGTGTTATACATGTCCTACTCTCTTTGTTCCTGTTTAACTGTTGTTCTCGCTTTTCAAAAATTAAATATATTCAACATTGACCAAATATATATAAAAAAATACTAATATTTATAATACATAATAAGTATTATTAGATAGATCATTAAATCTATTTTTATAATAAATATATTTAAATATATAAATATTACTAATATTTTCTACAAGCTTAGTCAATTTTTTTAAAAAAAATTAACGAGCAGGCTTCTCGTAGCGACAATTAAATAGGAATAGAGGGAGTACTCTTTATAAAAAAGAAAAATCTGTTATCTCGTTTTTTTAGTCATACACCAACCTGAGTCCCCGAGAATCACGCACGCACTCTGTGAGATCTTTTAAATTCATATTTAATCTCTTTCATTTTTTGCTTCAGTATCCGTACACTTCAGCATTTCATTTATCAAACTCAATCATTTTAAAAGGTCAACCACTCAACCTGATAGGAGAACCAGACACTTATTTATAGTCACACTTTCCTTTACGTACAAGCACGGAAGCTCCTTCAAATTATTTTATTTAATAAAATCTGACACAATTCGAACATAGGACCTTTTAATCTTATATCATATATTAAGATTATGATAAAACGCTCTGATTAATTCACACAAAAAACTTAAACTTAAAAAAGATGTACAGTTTACTCATATTTCCACAAATACGATGGGCTGATAGCGATGCAATTACATGAGGCAATGGACGGCGTAGTAGAAGACACGTGTCTCCTCTATTTTTTGTTTCTTTTTCTTCTAAAAACATGTTTAAGTATATTTTTATAAAGAATGACAAATGAAGAGTTTTTACAGAGAACGGAGACTAGATGAGCAACAATTTACTTAGACTGCTAAAACAACTTGTGGAAGATAATGACCGACCAGTAACAAAGAAACCACAAAGTGAGTAGAAATATATACTATCTACGACCACACGAGCTAAACCCTTGCCCATATGGAGGTTGGAGTTTGATGATGCATCCATGGCACTTGGTACATATCCAGGGGCAAATCTAAAATAAATTATCGCCGTGATCGACAAAGATATAGTTACTTATAGCTTATAACAATCCAGCAATATGCATAAAGATAAAAGTAATATTGACATATTACAAATTAAGCATGCATAAAAGCTGGATGCATGGAAGTAGCAATAACATAGTGTGATAAAAAAAACTCTTCGTAATAGTAGTCACCTCCTATAAATTGTACTCCACGGCTATGGCCATCCATTTTTTGAAAGCGAGCCATCACCCCATTTTTCCAAAAATTTAGGTTTATCGTTTGAGCTCAATAAATTTTATGTGGTGATCTTGTAAACACAAACCGTATCATCATTGATATTGAACCAAGAAATTCTTGTTCCACAAAGCTAATGGCATAATCATTCATAAATTCATTGCCGATACGGTTTAGTGTTACTGTCAGCTACATACTCTTTGAAAAGATTATACTTGATTTAATCCCTTTTCATTGCTAAATTGTTCACTGACTATGGTATTGCTAACTCTGTCTCTTTCATTGACTCCTTCGTTTGGGATAGGCTCACATGCATTAATCAACAGGGATGCCATGTCAAAGAAATAATTAATATCATGATTAAAACTAGAATAGGGAAGAGCAAGCTCTTTGGAATTGCAAGCATGACAATGTTCTGCTTGGTGTATGTTTCTGATTATATGACTAGAAAAAAGGAAAATAACCCTAAGACTTGAAAAGGATAAAAACCTCTAGTGGCTGGAGGGATGGAGTCGTTTGTTCGTCAAAGTGATCAACCAAAGTGTCTTACAACAACCTAAGACACCAAAAGTGTACCAACTAACTGACCATAGTCGAAGGTAAAAGTTGTGAGGACTTAGCCATGGTACTAGCCCTAGCCTTAGTGGGAGCAGCCTGCTCCAAGTAGTGTGCTAAATGGTAGTCATGGATGTCTTACGAACCAAAAAAACTCCTTGATGAGATGACTCTTCAATATAGCTTCCTTCAGGATGGGGATCATAGCTTGCAGATATGTAAGAAGGGATTGTTCCACTACTAAAAACGACTTCCTTTCTTGTGCCAAAATGTAGTCAAAAGACCACTTCCTTCGCAATGTAATTGGTTTACAATCGAAAGTAGCCCATCCCTGCGAAGCAGGTGACAATGAAGGCCGTGGGGACATCGATTGCTAGTTGTTTGGTACTGTGTGGGAAGAGTGATGCATGGAAGTTAGGGTGGTGCATCATGCGTGCAAGCTGAGGGGCATCCTGGTACTACAACGGATCATGGTACCATGGTATTCCATTGTTGCAACAAGCTATTTAGAGGGAGTCTCCTCGATCGAGCAAGGAGTTGTGAAACCATCTTCTCCTGTGCATGCCCCCAAAGGATACCAGCAAATCCCTGCAAGCGAGAGCTTAGTGACCATGGCCATATATAATTTGTTGGCCTAGTTGTAGAGGGCATAGGAGAAGGGCCATGGGAACCTAAGAATTGGCTCTCAGGTGGAGGTCAGGGGTGTGGCTAAGGCTTGCCCCTAGCAACAACTCATGGGAGGAATGGCAGGGCGATGACCAGGAGAGGGGCAGTGGTGGAGGAGGTTCCGTTGGAGCGAATAAGACCATGTTGTCACCATTCGTGTGGAGTCAAGATGTGTTTTTGATGAGAAGATGTTGATGACAACATGGAAGGGATGTCGTCGTAGATACCGACTGTCTAAGGCAACAATCCACACAAGCCTCCACCCCAAGTTGTCTTAGATCTGGTCATGAGTTGTGCACATATGAGGATGATGGTTGACGCCAACGTCAATGATGGTTCCCTCCATAGGAAACCCTCTTGGCGAGTGGAGGATGGAGGAGTGATTACTATTGCTGAAAGGGTAGTGGAGGCAGAGAGGGAAAAAATGGTAGAGAAAACGAGAATGCCAACATGAGGACACTGTTCTCTAAAGTGTTCACTAGTGGTTGGGCAGAGGGGTTGCGGGAGCAACGGGGGATGTTGTAGGCGTAGAGTTGAAAGAGAAAGGCAAGGGGGACATTTGGGGTGTGTTTAGTTGGGTGAAAGTTGGAATTTGGGCTACTGTAGCACTTTCGTTTTTATTTGGTAAATATTGTTCAATCATGGACTAATTAGACTCAAAACGTTCGTCTCGCAATTTCCAACCAAACTGTGTAATTAGTTTTTTTTTCGTCTACATTTAATGCTCCATGCACGTATTGCAAAATTCGATGTGATGGGTACTGTAGCACTTTTTTGGATTTCGGGTAGCAACTAAACACGCGCTTGATGGCGGAGTGGAAACAAGGGCACCTGTGCTAACTCTAGGTGGGTCCCCATACATCGCTCCCATCATTTTGTCCCCACACGCCTTTTTTATTTAGTTTATTCATTTTAACATAAGCATGTCTTATATGCCATGTCCACGTACTTAATAAAGGAACGTACACAACTGGTATTATGACTGAGTTAGGAAAATCAATCTGAGACAATTGTCCTAAATTGGCAAACTCATGAACTTTTATGTGCTGACACGATTACAGGTCTTGATTGAACTGTCAGCATCACAATTTTTCTGAAGGATGAAGTGCAAGGGCATCTATTTTTTCAATGATCGTTGGACTTTGACGCTGATTTCTTTATTCATTCAGATTAGAGAGACACCATTAATTGCTTCGCTGGTGACCTTTGTAGATAAAGGGAAGTTTATTTCATCAAGCAAATAAAAAAATATCCCGGTCTCAACATCGTGAGATGCTTGTGACCGTAAATTGTTACAAAGTTTTACTATGGGATAGACTCTGTCGCTTATGTAGCATTCACACCCATCAGCCAAACAAACAGCTGAGATAAAGCAAAAGAAATACATAATAAACTTAATATATTGTTAAACCTCCATCCATATTTGGCAAAGATCCCCATTCCTCGAAATTTCCAGTAGAAGACATGCATTAGGCAACAGGCTGCACTCATTCTTTTGGAACAGTGACCATGTCCTGATCCAATGGTACTATTCCTCAACAACGTCCATGTCTGCTAGATCGACCGAGGTGAATTCGCCCTCCGTCGAGAACAGGACTGCAGCCGTGACATACTTCTTCTGCGGGATCTGTCTGATCTTGAGCCAGTCTTCCTCGGTCAGCTTCCAGTCGAAGTTATCCAGGTTCTGCTTGAGCCTCTCCTTGTTGAAGCTTTTGACGATCCAAGTCACTCCCTGCTCATATATCCACCTCAACGACACCTAAAAGGAAATAATAAGGAGAATCAGATATCACGTACTCCCAACCACCGTACAACATAAATTCCGCGTTCCCAGACAGATCTAAGGAAGGCAAGCTAACTATCAAAGCGAGCATCCATGGATCGTCCAGATCAACGCATGCACGCACGTCAGAAATGACGTTGCACGAAATTAATCAAAGCTGTCTAATAGCCACGTACCTGTGCGATGGTTTTCCCTCTTCGCTGGGCTATCTCCGCGAGCACCTGGGATCCCAGCACGCCGTTGCCTTCCCCCGTGCGTGACCAGTCCTGCCCTCCCAGCGGCGAGTACGCCACGACGTGGATACCCTTGTCGGCGCAGTATGCTCTCAGCTTACGCTGCTGCCACACCGGGTTCAGCTCAACCTGGTTCACCGCGGGCGGGATCGAGGCGAAAGCCAGGATCTTGTCAAGGTGCTTGGTGGTGAAGTTGCTGACGCCGATGGCTTTTGCGAGCCCCAGCCGCTGGCACTCCTCCATCGCTCGCCAGACGCCCTCGAAGGCAAACGGGACGGCGTCCTCCTTCTTGGCCGGGAACGCTATCGGCCCGGGCTTCATGCACACCGGCCAGTGGATCAGGTACAGGTCCAGGTACTCCATCTGCAGGTTTCTGCTCGCGCGATCCACGCACAACGACCAAAGATATCATCACGTCTAGTTGGAAATGATACGATGTGTTTAGATGTTGCTACCTAGTGGAGAGGCCAGGGGACTCTTCTTACTTGAGAGTTTCCCGGAGGGACGGGACGACAAGGTCCGGGTGGCACTGCGTGCACCCACAGCTTCGACGTCACGAACACCTCCTCCCGGGACTCCAGGAGCCCGCGGCGGACCGCCTCGGCCACGGCCTCGCCGACCGACCTCTCCGAGCCGTACATTGCGGCTGTGTCGAGGTGGCGGAAGCCAACCTCGATGGCCGCTAGCACTGCATTCATGGGGGCCGAGACCGCCGTGCCCATGCCGACGGCCGGTATTGGCCTCGCGTTGCCGAACCGGAGGGCTACCTCCGTTACTGCCGCTGCCGTGTTGCCAACCGAGCCCATTCTCGTCTCTACGCGATCGAGCTGCGTTGGGTGCGTCGCGTGTGCCGCGAGAACTAGCTAGCCTTTCGTCGTTGGAACTGGTTCGTTTTCTCTGCTACTATACAGCTTTATAATAGAGATTCCAGTTCCACGTGCATAGAGATTCCACAGTCCACATGCATCGGCGCGGAGGCTCACCCTGTCACCCGACAGCCTTTGGCTATGGTTTGTCGTAAACGATTATAAATTTTCAGCTGGAATAGTATTTTTTTCTCACACAAACTAATCAGTAGTACTTTTTTACGAACCAGCAACAAAACGAACCAGCCAACCGAACGGGCTGCGAGTCCAGAACGATCAGAGCGTTAACGTGACATGTGAGGTACTCTCACACGAATCCACGTGGGTTGTGCTACCGCCTCACCTACTGCCAAGATCTTCGGAATCAGTATTTTGTCTAAAAATGAAACAGGCAAATACAAATGCAATGACAGATGAACCATCGAGAGTTTTGTTGATATATGAACTTGTATTTATATACTTAAAAAGTTCTCAAAAAGTCATCGGAATTCCGACTCCCGCCGGCCTGAAAGGAACAATCAACAGTGAATGAATAGTCTTTTACTCTTTTATTTATGATCCGTCGATCTGGTGCGAATTTTTTATATTTTAGCTATTTTTTTGAAAGTTTCTCATAAATAGATCCTTGGCGGAAAGAATTCAGAAAATGTACCTTAGCTCGACGCCATCGAAGCCTTTGGGTTGGGGCGAACTTACATGGAAGGGAGCTCGGCGCCAGTGAAAAAAAGCTCAATGCCAGCCACTCTGGCGCCGAGCTCGACGGCGTAGACGCTGGCGCCGAGCATGTTGTTTCAGGCGCCGTGAACGACGCGCTGTCGTCAGGTCGATTCGAATTCGAGGCGGCCGGGGAGAATCTTGGGCCTTGTTTAGATGACATCAAAGTTCCAAGGCGCCATCTCTCATTTATCACAACAATTTTTGGACGCATGTATGGAGCATTAAATGCAAACTAGGTCTCGTTCATTTTGCAAGTTTTTTTGAAATCGATGAACAAATCTTTTGAGCCTAGTTAGTCAATAATCGGACAAAGTTTGTAACCAACTAAATCAAACGATTCAATGTCGTGATTTCCAAAAATTTGTAATTAAGTTATTTTTTTTTCAAACGACCCGATACGACGCGCGCGGCCATTTAAAATTAATGCCTGCTCTGAAGAGAAAGTGAAACGCCAAGCAATTTAGATGACATCTAAACAAGGGGCTGCGGCCGTCGAGGACGCGCCAAGCCCACAACTGCGGGCAGAACCTTGTTGAGCGCTCCGAGGCAGGCAGACGTCCCAGCTGAAAATTGCAACTAGCTAATAGTACTACCCCGTAGTACTTAGCTTCTTTTATTTTCCTCAACTTTTAATATTGATCTGTATATATATCTTCTGGACACGGAATTATTAGAATTATGCACCTTGAGCAGAAAATGTATATTAGCTTTCGATGATCGTACGAACACTAGGCTAGCTTGCTGCTGCTGGGTCAAAAATGCATCATTGCAGTGTCATGCAACTCGTACCTAGCTTGATTGATCCAGATTTGCTAGCTAATAAGTACTGATTAACATGTCATATGGCTGAGAGTGGCCCGGTTGCGCTTGCTTTCAGTGTGTTTAGGACGGTGTACTCAGCACGCAGCTCCGTCCCTCGGCCTCACATATATTAACTTGCTGGCAAGCGATAGCATGCGACCTTGTTGGCTGGCTGATAAGTCCTGACTGAAACCAACAAGCGAACAGTGAGAGGGGAGGTGCATATTACCTATATTTTTGGTTGCGGCAACAGTGAGGCGTTACCTTTCTCATAAGCTAATCATTAGCAGTTAATGATGGGCCGGGAGAGCATCTTCATCATTAACTCGCTGATAGGTCACTTTGACCTAAAAACGCCGGCCGGCCGGGTCTCCACGCCAGAATCATTTTTTGTATGATTATATAATTTATGTAAAATTCCTCCAATCTAGAGGGGGTCTTAATAATACTGACATGATTTTACCGTTCCACGAGATGCAGTTCAGCTTCATTGTAACGCGTCAAGGGTAGATCCAATAATGTTAAAATAGCTATCTCATATAGATTATTTTATTCAGTAAGGAGAGAGTATGATTAGCTAGCTCTCCATGAAGAGCTAAACTAATATACTTTCTTATGATTCGTGTGTCTATGCTTATATGTTTTTCTATACTAGCATGTTGGGTTATTTTATTTTTATTGTTTTTAAGTTCATATAAGCTAACAAGGTGACTCTATTGTTGAGGCTGTATGCTCTAATACTCCTAAGCCAAGCATTTCTAACTTTGATTACCATTTCAAAAAAAAAACTGTATATGTTAACAACATAAGGTTTATGTTTTTAGATTTGCTATGACAAACAATTTCATAAACTATATAACTTGTATATGTTGTAAACTATATGAGTTTTTTTTAAAAAATTGATAATTAAAGATGTAAATGGTTGGTTTAAGATAGCTGTAACAGGAGGTGTAAAAAAGAATAAAGGGCGTACAAACTCAGAGAGCACACGCACCATGAGTTGACTCCACCACAGCGTCGTGCATGTATGATCCCATGTGTACCCATCAACGAGTCCCATGCATATGCATTCTTAGAGATACCTCGATCTGCACGCGGTAGAGTATCGGCATCTAAAAATGGTACCTTTTGGCAAAGCCGGTACCGGCGCGCGGATTAGTTTATTTAGGCCTCGTTTAGTTCGCAGTTAGGAATCAGTATTTGATACTGTAGCATTTTCGTTTGTATTTGACAATTATTGTTCAATTATGGTCTAACTAGGCTCAAAAAATTCATCTCGTAATTTACAATCAAACTGTATAATTAGTTATTTTTTTATCTACATTTAATACTCCATACATGTGTCCAAAGATTTAATGTGATGGAAAAAGAGTGAAAAAACTTGCAATCTAAAAAGGCCTTAGCCACAAAGTTCTTCTTCACCAGCCCCGGCTCCGTCGTCGTTTGACCAAGATTCTCCCCGGGCCGCCTCGAATTCGAATCGACCTGACGACGCACGTCGTTCACGGCACCTGAAACTGCATGCTCGGCGCCAGCGTCAACGGCGCCGAGCTCAGCGTCAACGGCGCCGAGCTCGGCGCCAAAGTGACCAGCGCCGAGCTTCCTTCCATGTAAGTTCGTCCCTAGACCAAGGGCTCGGCGTCAGGGACGCTGGCGCCGAGCTAGGATCCATTTTCTGAATTCTTTCCGTCGAGAATCTATTTGTGAGAAACTTAAAAAAAAAGGCTAAAAAGTAAAAAATTCGACGATCCGACGCTGATCGTCCCTGCCATTGATGCCTTGGGCGGCGAACCGGCAATGCCTGCGTGCCTCACTGTTCTCAACAGATTCCATATCGGTTTACCAACGTGGTATCTCGTTTTTTTATTATCATGCACCAGTCCGAGGCTCCGAGAATCACGCGCGCATTGTGTGAGATCTTTCAGATCGGAGGAACTGATGCCAACGTGTTTGTAGTATATTTCGTTTTATTTACTGTCACACCAATCAATGAATCACGTCGCACTCTAAGTTATTTTAGATTTACTATGATCATGCCCATGCGTTGCAACGGGAACAAAATAATACCTAGCTATCTCAACGCGTGCAATGCCAGAGTGACAAACACAATCGTGATCAACAGAGACACTCACACATAGATCGACAGCCGTCGACTATACGTCTTGGAGTGCGAAAAATAATATTGTGATAATTTATTGTTCTAGAAAAACGATATAATTTCAGTAACATTTTTATTTAGCCAATCATCACTGTTACATGAAAACCATAATGAGATAAGCATCAATTTTACATTTTGAGCTGAAGAAATTTCAACATGAAGAGCATCAAGAAATTGACGTTTTGTCACCGGACACTAAAATCTACTTTATCTTAGCAAAATGTTGTTTTGAGCCAATAGCTTAAAGATGAGCATCAATTTTACGTAACAAGATACTGAAACAAAAAATTCACATAATTCAAGTACATAGTTCAAAATAAAGATCCCAGGTGAGGGTGAGCTACTGCCACTACAAAGATCAGTATAAGAAATGTATATGCAAAACAACAATAATTAACAGTTAGTTATTACACACATTCAATCTTTAAGCTATTACCATGAGTAACAGATTGGTATAACAGATTGCCAAATCTCCACATTTAATAAAATATCTAAAACAACATCAGAATACTTTGATTGCATTATAAGGAAATAAGCTACATATGAAAACAACTTTCTAGCTCAGAAGAGACAAACCACCTTTGTTTACAAAAGTAAACATGTGAGGAAAATAATAATGTTTTTCTAAACGCTAAACGGTAAACAGTCGGTCACCTACCGTTTAGCCATTATTCGAGCAAAACGTCCCATTAAACGGGCCAAACGGCCCATTAAACGGGGTAAACGGGTGATTAAACGGAAACGACACACCACCGTGTAGCGTTTACACGGTGTTTAAACGGGCTAAACGACCATTTAGGCAAACAGTGAGTATTTTAGAATGAAAGTACTATCATGTTTCAAATATAATTTACACATTTTTAAAATAATCAAATCCATTTTCTTGTCAGACCACAAGACCTGGTTTCAAACAAATGGCAACACAAGCAATTAACAAACTGTACCATTCAAAAAATCAATAAGTAATGCTCTCACTGGAGAATTGAAAATTAAAGTAAGTAGTTCTCTTTAGTGTGCTAAGCATCACCAGTAACATCTAAGGAAAACACCAAACATACAAGGAGAAAGAATGAGCTCCTTTTGATCATCTACACACAAATTGCAGTGAATTTCATCGTCCATGTGTATATTCAAGTAAATATTTTCATCCTCCCTTTAGCTATTAAAGACATAAGACACAATAATAAAAAACAGAAGACATCATCAGCTTGTGGCTAGTTGCCTACACATGTATCAATGCCACTGATACACTGAACTTCTAAGG